ATACCATTTAATTGAGACAGCTGTAATGTACATTTGAAATTCCAATAATCCGCTAGATGCGTTAATTCTTTTTTCAGAGGCACATGCTTTATCGACCTAAATCCCGCAATAAGATGTACTCTTGTGAATTCCGTTTCGTCGTCGACGATCGCTTTAGCCACAGGATAAAGCGCTGCTATTCCTGAGCCGATGCTAAACATGACGATCTGCCGAAAACTGCCGTAATGAACAATACATTGACTCATGAGAAAACTTAATTATACTTATCCACATTTTACGTACCTGTTTCTTTCATACTTAAAATCTCCGTAAGGACCCCTGATGTTAATTTCACTGCCAATCGGTGCATTTTTCAGAAGTAAACTGAATTCACCGTGTTCATACACTTTTACCAAGAAAACTAAGCTCTTGTATGTCCAAGCAATTGGGGTGTATGGTCGAGATTTGCTCCAAGAATGTAGCATGACATATTGGCCAGGTATGAGATGCAAACTAACATTGTTTTCTGTTTTGCATTCTACGTAACATGTACGAAGTAATTTAATGTGAGATATATTATTCTATTATTGTTCAAATATATATCTGCATTATTTTTTAAGAAATTTTTTAAGTGTAACTTTTTTAGATTCAGCAATAAGCTATTGTACTTTCTGTTAATTATTTGCACTATATTTTATATAATTTATTATTCTGCTTTGATATATTATATTGATTTGATAAAACTATATAGTACCTGAATATTCCAAACAAACTGAAATGTAATCGTCCGATGTATCGGATATATTTGTGATGACAAATGGTTTATAAGATAAAAGAGATAATAAATTATCGGCTATTTTAACTTTCGCCTGTGTCTTTCTACCTTCCCATTCTCTTAGCAGCGTTTTGTGAACGTCAAAGATGCACGGCGTGCAGCCACTGCCGCAACAATCTTCCTCCAGTGGTGTTTTGGGTCTTTCATCGTCATTGTCATCATTACAATTGTCTAAACTCATTTTACACATTTTTCTTATTGCATTATCAATAGAATTTATCTATAAAAGCACAAATGCAAGTTAACCAAACTTGTTACATAAGAGATTTAAAACTAAATAAAACATACTAAGTTGAAATAATTACTGTAAGATTTATTTTTACTTAGGCATTTCATCAATAGACTTGTACAAAGAGGCATATTAATTTCACTTTATTTTGCATCATCGATTTTGCAAGAAAATTACGAAGATCAATTGTCATGTTGCTGTCACAGAACCACACACGTGTAGTGGATCACGTGACTATCTCAACAGACTCGTGTTTATATGCATTGTAGGGTGCTCTTGGGGCCCAAATATACATATTTTTAAGTTTCTCTGATAATTTGTACTAATAATATATACGCAGTATATTGATTAATTTATTCTAATTTCTTTTATAATATACACATGCTCCTCCCTAAATTTTAAATAAAACTGTGTAGGCAACGTGAGCGTATATAGAATTATTTAACAAAAAAGATTAAATTGTATTATATATTATACACTGTGATAATTATAATAGTATATTATATATTACAAATTATAATATTTTATTCTGTATTTATATTATTTATATTATGTATTGGCAATTATTTATAAATATAGCTTATTTGTATCTTCCGAATATTTCATTATATAAATAAGTTTTCTGCGGTTTCTTTCCTTTATTTATGTAACGACCATATATCGGTATGGGTGCAAGAAATTCTTAAACTTTGTTAATCCATCATAATTTTTTTTTCGCTCTCATATATTTTTTTTTGTTTTTTTCCACGACGGGCCTAACGACATATCCCAGTGAAATATGTATACGCTACTAGGGATAAGTCTGAACGCTATTGGGCGTGCGCAGAAAAATCCGTCTTCGCCCGCAACGACAAAGCCGCGCTGGCGTATTTACAAGGCTGCGGCCGAGCTTAACGATCCTGCCGTCGCGGCGCGGCGATCGGCCGCATACCGCGCATTCCGGCGTAATGCCCGAGCGTACGCGGGCGCGGGCGGGGGCGTGAGGTGGCGGGCACGGCGCGGGCGGCGAGATGGTGGCCGTGGGATGGGAGGAGGCCGGGAGGGGACATGAGGACGAATAGCCGAGGTTGCCTGTCGCGTCAAACGGGCCGTGCCGCGCGCGCGCGTCCACCCGCCCGCATACCATTAGATTTTCGTGGTTTTCAATGGGAACGCGCACCCGGCCGCGGCACTCGGACGCGCCGACGACGTGAGTGCCGTAACGACGGTATCGTACGTCGCGTTCGACCCGGGGGCGTCAGGCGCGCGCCGGCGGGCCAAAGCCAACCCGTTCGCGGCGTGAAACCTGCGAGAATCGACAATCGAGAATCTCTCGCAGGTGCGGCACGGCGCATCGCGTCGCACGGTCGGCTACGCGGGGACGACGACGACGACGACGTCGGGGGAGCGACGGAGAGCCGCGGGTGAGTAAAAAACATAAAAACGTTGATAAACGCGCCACACCACGCATGACACATTGATACATCGATACGTACTTGCACGCGCGAGCACGGAAAATGCCCGCACGGCCCGCTGTCAAATAAAGGCGACGCGGCGGGAATAAACGACGTGCCGGCCCGCGCGGTATCTCCCCCCCCCCCCCTCGTCCCCCCCGCTGAAATGGAATTCCGCGCGCGTACGCCTCGCCGCGCTCCTTCCTCTCGTTCTCTCGCTCTCCCGTTCTTCCACTCGCTCTTTCTCGCTCTTTTTCTTCCTCTCTTTCTCTCGCCTCTTTTTGCATTCTTCTACGCTACGCCGCATTCCTCTATTGATTCCCCGCGAATGTCGAGGGACGCGCCGCGCGGCGGTGGCGCCGACGACGACGATCGCTCGGAGTAGCGCGCCCGACCCGTCATCGTCGCCGTCGCCGTCGACGGTTTTTACTTCGACGATCCTCCCGAGTCGTCGGCAATTCCGGAGGCTCGAGAGAAACCGCCTCGTGCGATCGCGGGGTGATCGGGCCGTTTTCAAGAGAGCGAGAGAGAGAGACAGGCATACATCGAAAAGACGCGCGAGATTCGGCGCCTCTTCCCGTCGTCAGGTTTGCGGAAGAATTTCTGCGGCAGGTACGCGATTTCCATCGCGACGGGCGAACGATCTCGCCGCTCCCCCCGCGAGATCGTTCCGAGAAAGTCACAAACGAGAACGACAGTTGACGTCTCGCTCGCGTCTCGGAATTTCGCGGCGAATTCCGCGACGAGAGAGATTCGTCGCGTCTGCCAGGACAAACCGTCCGCAATTATTTGCGAATCCGTGATTCATCCGTTTGTACAGTGCGGCGGTTCTGTACGCGGGTCTGCGCAAATTGACTGTTTCGCGCCCTTTGATCTCGTGGAAAAAAAAACCGTCGCGTTGACAAATCGACATGAATGGTAAACAACGAGCGTGAACTCGCGACGAATCTCTGCCTGTGGCCGCGCTATTCGCCAAGTTTCGTACGATTAGCGAATCGCGAATCACAACAAGTCGTCTGGCTTTGGGAGAAACGAGAGAAACTCGGCGCGACACGCACGTGATGCCCTCCGCGTACCGCGAAATCCGCGTGGAATTCCACGCTGGCGAATTTTACGAAGATCACGCGAAGTCCCCGAGATCGGCGTTTCTTAAAATGGTGATGCTCGAATTCACCCGGCGGTTGGAATTCTTTTCGTCGCGTTCATCGGAAGGGCCTGAGCAGAATAGCTGACTTATATTTAAGACAATGTTTTTCATGCTTTAAATTAAATCTTTGTTTTTAGTAACGCACAATACTGTCTTATTGTGTCTCACGTCTTAAACGTATGCACGAAGTGTCAATATTTGTAAAAGCATAAAACATTGTCTTAAAATTATAAGTCAGCTATTCTACTCAGGCCCGAACTCGCTGGAACTCGGGAGTGATTTGGACGCATTCAAATTTTCGCGAACGAAAACGGATCCGCTTAATGCGATTTATCGCGTCCGCGACACACCTTCCCATACCCTCCTACGGTCTATCTTACTCGGTCTATCTTTTCTTCACTGAAATTACTCCTTTCGCAAGTGCGCAAAATTTAGAAATTTAGAAAGTGCGCTAGACGCGGAGGAATTTATGAGAGATTAAATCTACGGCAGCGGACTTTGTTCTCTTCCAAACGAAGGTAGATGTTTCTTGGCGATCTTCCTGCCAGGTACTTTAGCAGAAAACTTATTACGAGGTCAGATCAGATACTTAAGTAACTTCTTTTTTTACTTTTAATAACACATTTGGAGTAAAATACGTTTTATTTTATTATTAGATACTTAAGTAGTCTTTTTTCTTCTGCTTTTAATAACATTTGGAGTAAGTTACAGGTAGGTCCCGTTTCGATGGTCCTTTTTACGACTTTTCACATCAGCGACCTTTTCGAAATTACCTAAAAATGACAAAAATTGGGGGAAAATATAAATAAAACGTGTTTAAATGTTTAAAATAATTTATTATTTAAAAAACAGCAATATTATTAATTAATATGTACTTGGAAAAATTCATTTTGCAACTGTTTTGCTGAAACTTGACCCCTGTCTTCAACGGGTTCTACCTGTACATTCGATTTTATTATCCTCTCTTTCTTCCTGAAATTACGACTTTCACAAGTACAGAAAATTTGGAAATTTAGAAAGCGTCACTAGACGTCATAACATTTATGAGATATTTGAATGTACGGTAGTAATGGACTTTGTTCTCATGCAAATAAATGTAGATGTTTCTTGGCTACCTTCCTGCTAGATATTTTCATAAAAAACTTATCATAAAGTCAAATCAGATGTTTAAAAGTAACTTATTTTCTTTACTTTTAATAACATTTGGAGTAAAATATGATTTTGTTATTAGATTTAAGTAATTTTTTTATTTTCAATGGTATTTGGAGTAAGATGCATTCGATTTTATTATTAAATATTTAAGTAACTTCTTTTCTTTATTTTTCTTTTACATCTGGAGTAAGATACATTTGATCTTATTATCCTCCTCCTCTTCCTGAAATTGCGACTTTCACAAGTACAACAAATTTGGAAATTTAGAAAGCGCGCTAGTAGACGTGATAACATTTATGAGAGATTGAATCTACGGAAGCACCGAACTTTTTTCTAAATAATTGTAGATGTTTTTTGGCTATCTTTCTGCCAGATATTTTAACGAAAAACTTATCGTGAAGTCAGATGAGACGTTTAAGTAACTTCTTTTCTTTGCTTTTTAATAACATTTGGAGCAAGATATGCTTTTATTAGATTTAAGTATTTTTGTTTATTTTCAATAATATTTGGAGTAAGATGCATTCGATTTAATTATTAGATGTTTAAGTAACTTCTTTTTTCATTTTTCTTTTACATCTGGAGTAAGGATACATTTGATCTCATTATCCTTATCTCTTTTCTGAAATTGCGACTTTCAGACGTACAGAAAATTTGAAAATTTAGAAAGCGCAATAGAATGATAACACTTGTAAGAGATTACATCTACGGTAGCAATGAACTTTGTGCTCTTCCAAATGAAAGTAGATGTTTCTTGGCTATCTTCCTCTGCCGAGCATTTTAGCAGAAAACTTACCATGAAGTCAGACCAAGCTATTCAATTTTTTTTTCTTCTTTTAATTTTAAATAATTAAATCTTTGCTCCGTTACTTTTAATAACATTCGAGAGAAGATACGCACTTATTTCTTCACATATTTGTAACTTACAATTAGTGTTCATGTTCGTCGCGTACTTTTTTATCACGTTCCTACGTTTCGGTAGAAATGCAACGTCCATGTACGTATTACGGCAAATGGAAGAGAAACGATTAGCTCGCTTGATGTTTCGTTCGTCGGCGCGTAAAAATTCCGTGGAACGCGCTCGCGTTTGGAATTCCATCGGGTGCGTCGAACTTTTCTCCGAGTGATCGTGCCGATCTTTGTTTAGGGAAAAGTCGTTGCAAGTGAAACGTTGGTTTACGTTTAACAGCCAAACAAATTATTTCAGGAATTTAGGGGAAAAACGAAAAGCGAGGCGTCCTTCCCTTTGTAGATCTTTCATTTCGAAAATTTCTTTGTTAACGCACCTTCGCGCGTTCCGTTCATTCCATTCCTGAAATTTTATCACGCCTTTTCGTCACTCCGTCGCAATGGAAGTCTTGCGATTCTTACGATTCACTCGTAAGAATCTCTGCTCTCATACCGCGACGTTAAGTATTGTTTTTCTTGGACGGCGGTCGATTTGTTAACTTTGCGAGCGCGCAGGTATAAATCTACGCAACGCATCGCATAGCATCGCTTTGTCTTGGACGT